GGATCAGCCAGGTGGCATCATTGATGGACTCAAGTGTGGCAGCGGTAGTGAGATTGGCCCAGGATTGGACATTGTTTCGTTCTGCTGTGCATGGGATCGCTATGAGTTGGTTCCGACTCGATGGCACCTGACAACAACAACAATGTTCAACCATTTCAAGAGGTAGCATATGATCAAATGCCAATGATACTGAAGGAATATGTCCAAGGTGCATTGAAGGAATTGGCAAAGAACAAGGCACCAGAAATTGAAGGGAAAAAATTGAAATAATTCAAGAAAGTGAGGCTGCAATGGATGCATTCACTCATCTCAGCTAAGAAATTTGGAAGACAACTCTCTGGCCGACTGATTGGAAGAGATCAGTGTTTGAACCCATTCCAAAGAGAGGTGACCAGAAAGAATGCGGAAATCATCAGGCAATGTCTTTCATATCCTATGTGAGTAAAGTTTTGCTAAAGGTAATACAGAAACGGCTGCACGCATACATTGACAGAGAATTTCCAGAGGTTCAAGCTGCAGTCATAAGTGGACATGGAATGAGGGATAACATTCCTGATGCCTGATGGATCTTGGCTAAAAGTGGAGATACCAGAAAGACATTTACCTGTGCTTTATTGACTATGCAAAGGCTTTCAACTGTGTGGATCATGACAAGCAATGGACAACATTGCAAAGTATAAATATTCCTGATCATGTAATAGTGCCAATGAGGAATCTGTACATGGATAACAGAGAGTTGTTCAAAGATAACATGGGCATGGTTTAAAATTAATAAAAGTGTGCGACAGGATTGTATTCTTTCACCATACTTATTCAACCGATATGCTGAGCAAACAATCTGAGAAGCTGGGTTATATAAAGAAAAACATGACATCAGAATTGGAGGAAGACTCATTAACAACCTGCAATATGCAGATATACAACCTTGCTTGCTGAAAGTGAAGAGGACTTACAATACTTACTGATGAAGATCAAAAACCACAGCCATCATTTGAATTGCATCTCAATATAAAGAAAACAAAAATCCTCACCACTGGACCAATAAACCACATTCTTATCCATGGAGAAAAGATTGAAGATGTCAAGAACTTCATTCTGTTTGAATCAACTATCAATGTTCATGGAAGCAGCAGTCAAGAAATGTAATGATGTATTGCATTAGGCAAATCTGCTACACAAGGTCTTTTAAAAGCGTTGAAGAACAAAGATGTCAGCTTGAGGACTAAGGTATGTCTGATCCAAGCCATGGTATTTTCAATAACTTCATATGCATGTGAATGCTGAACAGTGAATAAGGAAAACCATAGAAGAATTGATAGTTTTGAGTTATGGTGTTGGAGAAGAATATTGAAAGTGTCATGGGCTGCCAAAAGAACAAACAGATATCTGTTGGAAGAAGTTCAGCCAGAGTGCTCCTTGGAGGCCAGGATGATCAAACTTCATCTCTCATACTTAGGACACGTCAGTAGGGACCATTCGCTGGAGAAGGATATATGTTTGGTAAGGTGGAGGGTAAGCAAAAAAGAGTAAGACCCCCAGCGAGATGGGCTGTCAATATGACAACATCAATGGGCTCAAGTGTTGCAACAATTGTGTTGTTATCCCAGGACAGGGCAGTGTTTCGCTCTATTGTGCTTTGGGTCCCTATGAGTCTGTACTGACTCAATGGCACCTAAAAAGAACATACTTCTAATCAATGTCTCTAATGTTTTAGGATTTTATTCTAAAACTACAGTGTCATCTAATCAAATAAATTAGAAAATGTATCATAGCATTATCATTTTATTAATTAGCAAAATTAGAGTAGGTGAAGCAAATGTAAGATATGATGAACTTAAACAGCTGAACAAATGTTTTCAAATGGCGGCAGTAAATGGAAGAAATCATAAAGTATTATCATGAAACATGCAAAGACCTGGAATTAGATGACCAAAAGGAAATAGTGCACTCAACATTTCTCAAGTTGGAAGAACTGAAGAAAATATTCAAGCCTCGAGGTATAATTAGTGGTTACAAACCGGGTTGTGAACCTCAGAGTCAGCAGTTCGAAACTACCAGCTGTTCCACGGGAGAAAGATGAGGCTTTGTGCTCCTATTAAGATTTACAGCCTTGGAAACCTTGTACAGGGTCACTATGAGTTGGAACTGACTCCACTGTACATTACAACAACAACAACATAGGTAAAATGGACTCCTGAGGTAGCACTGTCAGATAAGCACTGGACTGATAACCTCAATGTCAGCAGTTCAATCCCATCAGCTGCCCCTTGAAAATCCTATACAGGATTGCTATGAGTTGTAACATCCAAGCACTTAACACCAACAACAAATAGACAAAATATTAAATGACACAGAAAACATCGTAAGATGCAGGGAGGACAGTCACTGTGTTGAAAAGAACTGGTAGACATTCAACCATTTCCGGAGGTAACATATGACCTTCAACTAATGACACTGAAGGCAGATGCCCAAGTTGCACTGTAAAATAGGTGGCAAAAGAGACTCTGGGAATTGAGAGAATACCAACTCAGATGTTTCAACAAATCCAATACTGTAAGTACTCATTCATTTATGTGAAGAAATTTGAAGGACTAGTCCACTGATTGGAAAAGATCTATATTTATGCCCACTCCAAAGAAAGGTTATCTAGTAGAATTCAGAAATTATTGAATGTTAACATTAATATTACACTCAAGTAAAATTGTTGCTGAAAATATTTTTTAAATTATTGTAACAATACATCTGCAGGAAATGACCATTAATTTAAGCTGGTTCAGAAGAAGACATGCAATGATGGGTATTACTACTGATGTCAGATAGATCTTGGCTATAACCATAGTACCAGAAAGATGCTTATCTGTGTTTACTCCCTGCAAAGGCATTCAACTGTAGAAACAACACACAACTGTGTGGATAACATTTCAAAGAATTTAAATTCTAGAACACTGAACTGCTTATGAGGAACCTGTACATAGACCAAAAAAGAGTAGTTAAAAAAGAACAAGGAGATACTTTGTGTATTATAATCCAGAAAAGTGTATGTCAGGACTGTATCTTTTCATCATATTTATTGTATCTGTACGCTGAGTAAATAATCAGAGAACCTTGAATACGTGGGGAAGACAGTTGATCAGGATGAGGAAGACTCATTAGAAATCCTGGTTGCTGAAAGCAAAGGTGATTTATAGCACTTACTGATGAAGGTCAAAATCAGCCTTCAGGATGGATTGCACTTCAACATAAAGAAAAACAAAATCTACAGAATTGGACCAGTTAGCAACATCATGAATAAACAAGGAAAATATTGATATCGCCAGGATTTCATTTTACTTGGATCCACACTTAAAGTTCATGGAAACAGGAGTCTAGAAATCAAATGACATACCACATTGTCAATTCTGTTGCAAAATAATTTTTGAAGTGTTAAAAAGCAAGATGTTATTTTTTTTTTTAAGAACACTTTTCGTTGTGAATTGGGTGATAGCTTACATGGGAGAACATCACTTTTACACTTATCCTATAGTATTTGTTTCACTGCAATGATTGCAATCACCTCCATGCATAACATTCAACAGTATTTGCTTCTATTCCCTCTTTTTGCTGTTGTTGTTGTTTTAATGTTCACAGAAATATTCAGGAATATATAATTATTTAAACAACCAAAGGGGGCCACATTCTGCAAGTCTGCCTCTTGGCTGCAAGCACCCAGCCTTTCTTTTTCCATGAGTCTAGAGTTCTCAGCTGCTCTCTCTCTCTCTCCATGTCATCATCTCTGCCTCTATCTCTGGTGTTGCTGATTCTCTGGATAGAATCCCACATTCCATTCATGCTCATCTCCCTTGATATTCCTAGAGCTTTCTGTTTCTGGACTGTATGGTTAGCTATTCCCCTCATTTTGTTACAAAACTTCTACCTTTATAGTTGTGACAATCACAATTAGTCATGATAACAATTACTCACTATTGAATCATAAGGATATTATCACCATTTCCTTTCACTAGACCTGTCTAGACAAGATGATAACTATTCAGTGGGGATTATACCTTCCCCTGCACACTCTGAAATTAAACACCCTCTTGAAAACTTGTGAGCCAGTCACTTAGTGCCTTTATTGTCCCCTCATTTTAGGTAGCCAATGTCTAAGCTGCCCATCCTTAGGGATGGGATTGATCCTTAATAAGAAGACTCTTTCCCTCTTAGTTGGCATTTTGAGCTACTACAAAATAGCAAGATGTTACTTTGAGGTCTAAAGTTTGCCTGACCTATGCCATGGTATTTTCAAAACCTTATATGCATGAGAAAACTGGACAATGAATAAGGAAGACCAAAGAAGAATTGATGTCTTTGAACCATGGTATTAAAGCAGAATATTAAATACATCACATATTTTCAGATCAAACAAATCTGTGTATATCCCCAGGTGTAAACTTGCAGAATTCCTATGTATACATAAGAATAACCTGAAGACCTTGTTAAAATGTAGGTTCTGAATCAGTATATCTGGAGTGAAATGCAAATGCTAAGCAGGGGTCAAACTGGAATTAACAGGTTAGAAGCCCTGGGTAGAATAAATAATTAATTCAGAACACCTCTAAGAAGTTTACATGGAAAGGAGGGGCAGATACAAACAAGAGATGGCAATACATTAGAAGTAACTGTAGCATATAAATTATTGGCCTTATTTACTTATTTTTGCATTATTTTATTTATTTCATTCCCACTTCAACCTCAAACTGTAGGAATTTCAAGCCAGCCAACCCTGTAACAAGAAAGCTAGAAATTTGCATTGAAAACTAGCCTAAGATCTAACCCAACACACAGTACTACAAGAAATTTTAAAAAGTAACCTAGCACTTTTATTTCCCCAGCTTGTGCTTCCCTATTGCTTTTTTAAAGGCCTCTTTTACATCCTTGTTTCTGAGACCATAGATCATGGGGTTCAGCATGGGGATCACCGTGGTGTAAAACACAGCCACCATTTTACCCTGCTCCACAGATTCCTCAGTAGGACGTCTCATGTGCATACAGAAGAGGGTCCCATAGAAGATGGTGACCACAGTGAGGTGGGAGCCACATGTGGAAAAGGCCTTTTTTCTCCCCTCTGCAGAACGACTTCTGAGTATGGCAACCAGAATGAACATGTATGATGTAAGGATGATCAGGAGCGACTGGACATTGCTGTACCCAGCTACTATGTACATCGACAACTCTTTGCTGTAGGTGTCAGAGCATGCCAGCTTGATAAGAGGGGGGTCAGCACAGTAAAAGTGGTTGATTTCATTAGCACCACAGAAGGAGAGGTTGTAGGTCCTCAAGGTTTCCATTACACTTAAGAGGAAGCCATATACATAAGGGACAACAATGAGGCGGACACAGACACTCTTGGACATCTTGCTACTGTAGAGCAGTGGGTTGCAGATGGCCATGTAGCGGTCATAAGCCATGACAGCCAACATGCAGTGCTCTGTAAGAACCACAGCAATGACAATATAGCACTGCACCAAACAACCTGCATATGAGATGGTCTTCTTCTCCGATAAGAAATTCTCTAGCATTTTGGGAGTAACATTTGTGGAAAAACATAGATCTAACACAGACAGACTTGAGAGAAAGAAGTACATAGGAGTATGAAGCCGAGAATCAATTTTGATTAAAACAATCATACCCAGGTTTCCTAAGATAGTGACCATGTAGACCACAAGGAACAGCACAAAGAAGACAACTCGAAGCTCCGGACGGCTTGTTAGACCCAAAAGAATAAATTCTGTCACTTCAGTGTAGTTTCTTCTGGACATGTCTTTGTCTCATAAGTGAGGCATTATTTTTTTTAATCTAAGGAAAGATATGAAAGTATGTTTTCATCATTTAAACTTGGTTCAATTGTTAAAAGATCCAAAGGCATTTATCTCACTGACATTTATATAATTAGATTTACTATAAAGTAACTTAGAAACATTTTTCATAAAATGGTTATATGTAACTCAGTTACCAAGGGAAGAAAATATTATAGAAATTTAGAAATACTTACAAATCCTTCCAATACACTTTTGTGAAGAATTGCTTCATTTGTGTTATGATGTTGAAGCAGAATATTAAAAGTAATATGGACTGACAAAAGAAAACCTGATCTGTGTTGGGAGACGTTCAGTCAGAGTGCTCCTTAGAAGTCAGGGCAGCCAAATTTTGTCTCTCAAACTTCGGACATATTATCAGGAAGGACTAGTCACTGGAGAAGTATATCCTGTTTGGTCAAGTGGAGGGTCGGAGAAAAGAGGAAGACCCTCAACGAGATGGATTGGCAACTGGCAGCAGCCATGGGTTTAAACATAGCAACGATTGTGAGGTTGGCTATTGTGCATAGAGTCTATTGTGCATAGAGTCGCTATGAGTAGGTACTAACTTAACGGTACCTAACAACAACAAACACAATTTTATATACACATAGACACGTGATATGTTATAAGGAATTTTGAAGATTACCTATGGAGAAACTGAATCTTACAGAGGCAACATGACTTATCTGAGTTCAAATACCTACCTAGAGACACACCTTTAATTCATATTCTCCAGCTCAGAGATCTGCTAATTCATCATATAAGTAATTTTCACCAAGTTCAATTCGTTGGCTGGAACCCAATAACATACACTTTTTTTTTTTTTTTTAAAGATTTGTTGCTGCTAATATTGGTGATCTATGAGTTGCTTGATTGTTTTATAAATTGGTAGTTTGGGTACTCATACCAAAAAAGTCTTTGCTTGAGCTTTTCATATAAATAAACTCTTTTGTGTGGAGTGTTCAGGATAACTCTTTGTCTTGAGTCTTCATATTGGTATCACGTAGTGTAAATATTCCCTTGCACCCCTACATTCCAATTTGATCAATCTTTCCATTAGGTTGAATGTGAACACTAATTCTTCTTCATCAATACTCATTATATATACAAAGTGTATGATCATTTGTCTTTCAATTCTTTTCATATATTTTAATTTGGTCTTTTTCCCCCCTTCAGTTCCTACTGCATTAGTACACTCGGGCTGTACAGAACTACTTTCACAGTCCCAAGCTAGTTAACATTGTCTTTAGTACTGCTGTATAGTACAGTCTCCCTATGTCAAGGCATTTTTTATTTCTTCATGTTATTAAACATGAAATATAGTTTAGTCATTAGGAGAAAATAATTAAGTCAGTTATCCTCAGATTAATAAATATCACTTATGAGTTCCCCACCTATGCTTTTTCTCTACTAATATATGCAAAAAAATTTAATTATCTGATCCCCTTTGATGCTATTGCCATACAAGCTGTTTTACTTCTCTATATATCTTAAGATAAAATAAAAATGAAAATAAAAATTTATCCGTTCATTAATTTGTTTATTCAATAAATGTTTATTAACTACACTGCCTAAAAAATTCTAACATAAAGAAAGATATTTATAAATGAAAACAATGATTGGAATTAAAGGCACTTGCATTCTATATGCTTCAGGTGGGAAGAAAACAATGCCTCTTCCAGCTAAAATAAGATAGTCTGAAGTGGAAAAAGAGAAGACATACAAATAGAATGTGTGTGTGTATACAAGCACAAATATATATTCAAAATGAATGTATGAATAAATAATAATGACAAAGATGATGATGATGTTAACTACATGGAGTTAAAAGCAAACAAAACACAGAACTGAAAGTTTTCAGAATGAAATAGTAAATCTAGAGTGTTGTGAACAGTATTCATGAGTTCTACAATTCAAGTATTTTCAGAAGCAGATATGTCATTATTAAATTTAGACATTTTTAGTTAAATATGCATGGTTGTTCTAAAGTAATAACCTTAAAAATAAAAATGCAGCATGTAAACTCAAAACCAATAGGTGATGGTGACTCTGTGCTATCAAGTCCGTTCCTACTCTTAGTGACGTCATATGGTTTCAGAAGCTGTAAATCTTTACCAGAGCAGAAAGCCTCATCATCTTCCTTTGGAGCAGCTGGCGGAATCAATGCAGTGGCAATTAACAACAAGGAGCAGTAGTGAAGAGAAATAATCATAAAAGGTGTTCCTTCTTACCCCAACAATCACCATCCTGACTTGTAAGGAGCATCCTGGCTGTACTTCTTCCAACACAGATTTGTTTGCTTTTCTTGAATACCATGAAACTTTTAATATTTTTCTACAAAATCACAACTCAAATGAGTAAATTTTTCTATGGTCTTTGTTATTTAGTGTGAAACTTTGACATGCATGTGAGACTATTGAAAATACCATGGCAAGAGTCAAGTGCACCTTAGTCCTCAAACTAATGTTTTCCTTTTGAATACGTTAAAGAGATCTTGTGCAGCAGATTTGCCTACTGCAATACAGTATTTGATTTCTTGTCTTTTGCTTCCATGACTGTTAATAGAGAACCTAAACGAAATGAAGTCTTTGAATTATAGTGGTATTAACTGGTCTTCCTTGTAGGTGTATGAACATTATGCTATCACAGAAAGCATTATATTTCAAGATAGATCTTGAAGTGTTCTTTTTAATGATGAATGTGATGACATTTATCTTCAGTCTGTCATTCCCTGTATAGTAAGTAAATCATATGATTGTCAGATCCAAAATGACCAATACCAGTCAATTTCAGTTTACTAGTGTCTATGATATTGATCTTTATGCATTCCATTTAATTTGTGAAAACTTTCCATTTTTCTAGTTTCAAACTTATACATTCCATATTCTGATTATTAATAGATGTCTATAGCTATTTCTCCTCATTTTGAGTTGTGCATCATCAGTAAATGAAGGTCCTACAAGCTTTACTTCATTTGTGCCTTTATGATCAACTCTACTTTGAGGAGGAGGTTCTACCTCAGTTGCATTTTGAATGCCTTCCAACCTGAGGGCTCATCTTCCAACACTATATTAGAGAATATTCTGGTACTATTCAGAATGTTTTGATATTCAATATTCTGGTGCTAGCTGACAATATTCTAGTTAGCATCATAATGTTTTCAGTGGCTAAACAATCAGAAATTGTACACCTCTCCTTCTGTCTAGTCTGTCTTAGTCTGGAAGCTCATCTGAAAGACGTTCACCTAGATGACGCTGCTGATCTTAAAAAATATATAAGCATAGCTTGCAGCATCACAGCAACACACAAGCCACCACAGTATGTATGACACACTGACTGATGAGGGGTTTATTAGGGAAGTTAAAAGGTTACAATTCAGGGTCAGAAATATTCATGGCACAATTCTTCCAGTCAGGACAGCCTCTTTCCAGTCATGACTGAAGGCAAGCCTTGCTCTGCCCCTAGGCCCCTTGGCCTGACCTTGGTCTTGCATTGACAACAGTACTCAAACCTCTTAAGGGCTGCTGACAATTACTCACAAGGCACACCACTCCACTATAAGTCTTAGTTCATGGACACTTGTCTCTAGCATTAGGGGCGAGCAAACCTATCTCTTCAATTAAGTGCATGGAGGCACTTCACTCCACAATTAAGCCTCCTGCTCAACGTCACAGCTCTACTTGTTCTGTAGGATGGGAAGCTCATTTATCTGTCTGATATCTGGCTCTTGGTTCTGGTGTTTCTCCTCTGCCATTCCTCTGCTACTTCTCTGGTTCACAGATTTATGTCTCTGTGTCAAGGAGTATCAATACACAAGGATCTCTCAGTTCGTAAGATAAGATGCATTCCAATCTTAGTTCTTCTCTTTGATAGTAGTATTGTCCCTTCTTCCCTTCTGGGATGGATCATTTTACATTCAGCAGGATGGCATACCACCAGTTGTCTATCAGTTTGTGGTGCTGTTGTGGCTTTCTTGTTGCTGTGATGCTGGAAGCTATGCCAATGGTATTTTGAAGGCCAGTAGGGTCACCCACAGTGAACGGGTTTCAGCTGAGCTTCCAAACTAAGAAAGACTAGGAAGAAGAAGAGGCAGACTACTTTAGAATATTTAGTCACTGAAAATCTTATGAATAGCAGTGGAACACTGCCAGATAACACAGGATCTTGAATACTGAAATATTATGAATAATGTTTTGAATATGAGAATCACTTGGTTTACTATGCTTGGAATGACAAATTGAAAAGGAATGGCAACACATTCATCATCAAAAGAACATTTCAAGATATATCTAGAAGTGCAATGCCATTTGTGATAGGATAATATCTGTATGTCTATAAGGCAAACCAGTTAATACAATTTTTATTCAAATTTACACAATCACTGTTAGTGATAATGAAATTGAAGAATCATACCAACTTTGTCAGTCTGAAGTTGATCAAACATGCAAAATATTTATATAATTACTGGTGATGAGAATGCAAAGGTTGGAAGCAAATACGAAGGATCAGTAGTTGGAAAATATGGTAGTGGGGAAAGAAATAGTGCTGGAGATCACATGATAACATTTTGCAAGACCAATGGCTTACTCATTGCAAATACCTTTTTTTAAACAACATAAATGGTAAGCACACTCATTGACCTCATATTATGGAATACACAAAAATCAAATGGACTGCATCTATGGCAAGAGACAATGGAAAAGCTCCAGTTCATTAGTCAAAACAAGTATCAGGGCTGACTGTGGAACAAACCATCAGTTTTTCACATGCAAGTTCAGGCTGAAGCTGAAGCAAATTAAAACACTCGAGACAAAATATGACTTTTAACAAATCCATCCCGAATTTAGAGATCATCTCAAGAAGAGATTTGATACATTAGACACTAATGACAGAAAGCCAGAAGAGTTGTGGGATGACATGAAGAACATCGTAGAGAAAGAAAACAAATGATCATTAAGAAA